ATCACCAATCATAACTGGGTAATATTTTTATAACTAGGTAGTATTTTTATAGCTGAGCAATAAGTAAAACAATTGAAATTTCCATAAAAAATGATATGTTTCAGATTTAACCAATAAAAATTGCAAACTAAAAGGAGTAAGTTTCAAATAGTTAAAATTTGTTTTTCTTGAGTGAAAATCTCATGAGTGTTGCAACAGAAAAGCAAGACACTTTCATTGAGAACTGCGTCTACAAAGAAATACTCCAATAAAATCTACTCTGTGATGTAATGCTGTGATGATAGCTCATTTTTAAACTAGAATTTCAATAAAATCATTTTTCTCATGGATGGTGAACATTATTGAATGTCAAGTATGAGTACATTGTTGTAGAATTGCAGACAATTCCAGAAAAGGCCGCAGGCCCAATAGCCTTCCACATGGACTAGCAGTTATACCTGCCCGGAGGGCGGGTATTTCTTATAGTGTTTTAACTCTTCTTGAACAATATGACTAGCTGTTCTAATGTTTGAACAATATGATTATAACTTCATAAATATAGCCGTATCATTAACTTGCCTTGAACAATATGATTTTGGCTGTTTTATTGTTTGAACAATATGATTTTGGCTGTTCTAATGTTTGAACAATATGATTATAATTTCATAAATATAGTCACATCATTAACTTGTCTTGAACAATATGATTTTGGCTGTTCTAATGTTTGAACAGTATGACTATAATTTCATAAATATAGTCACATCATTAACTTGTCTTGAATAATATGATTTTGGCTGTTCTAATGTTTGAACAATATGATTATAATTTCATAAATATAGTCACATCATTAACTTGTCTTGAACAATATGATTTTGGCTGTTCTGATGTTTGAACAGTATGACTATAATTTCATAAATATAGGGCCCCCAGTAGCACAGTGGTATGTCTGCGGACTTACAACGCTAGAATCCGGGTTTCGATACCCGTGGTGGGCAGAGCACAGATAGCCCATTGTGTAGCTTTGTGCTTAATTAAAAACAAACAAACAAACAAATCATAAATATAGTCACATCCTTAACTTGTCTTGAACAGTATGATTTTGGCTGTTCTGATAATTGAAAAATATGACATTTCTATACTCTTTTTGTGCGATATAACTTAAGGATGTGGTAATACTTTTTGTTTCTCTAATACAATAAAACTTCTGGTAAACTTTCTAGTTTTGAAGTGTCACTTTGGTTTATTGAATGTGGTGACTTTAGAAATTTTACATCAGTAATAGAGCTTAAGGTCGGTGCATTTAGTCAAGTTTATTACATTTTTTTATCCATAAGAGATCTTTCAATTGATGGTCATCTTGGTC